GGGGTCCCCAAATCCAGATAGGGGTCCCCAAATCCGGGTGGGGGTCCCCAAATCCATATGAGGGTCCCCAAATCCGGGTGGGGGTCCCCAAATCTGGGTTGGGGTCCCCAAATCCATGGGGGTCCCCAAATCCAGGGTGGGGTCCCCAAATCCTGGGTGTGGAGGTCCCCAAAGTCCACGGGGGTCCCCAAATCCAGTGCTGGGGGTCCCCAAATCTGTCGTGGGGGTCCCCAAATCCCGAGGTTTGGGGGGGTCACAGGGTCCAGGGGGGGTCCCCAAATCCTGGTGGGGGGTCCCCAAATCCGGGTGAGGGTCCCCAAATCCTCGTGGGGGTCCCCAAATCCTGGGGGTGGAGGTGTCACAGAGTCCAGGGGGGGTCCCCAAATCTGGGTGGGGGTCCCCAAATCCGTGAGGGGGGTTGTCACAGAGTCCAGGGGGGGTCCCCAAATTTGCGTGGGGGTCCCAGAATCTGAGGTTTGGGGGGGTCACAAAGTCCAGAAGGTCCCCAAATCCGTGAGGGGAAGGGGGTCACAGAGTCCAATGAGGGTCCCCAAATCCGGGTGGGGGTCCCCAAATCTGCGTGGGGGTCCCCAAATCCCGAGGTTTGGGGGGTCACAGAGTCCAGGGGGTCCCCAAATCCAGATGAGGGTCCCCAAATCCTCGTGGGGGTCCCCAAATCCGTGGTCTGGGGGGGTCACAGAGTCCAGGGGTCCCCAAAACCAGGTGGGGGTCCCCAAATCCGAGGTTTGGGGGGGTGACAGAGTCCAGGGGGTCCTCAAATCTGTGAGGGGGGGGTCACAGGGTCCAGGGGGTCCCCAAATCCGGGTGGGGGTCCCCAAATCTGGGTAGGGGTCCCCAAATCCGTGAGGGGGGGGGGGTCACAGAGTCCAGGGGGTCCCCAAATCCTCGTGGGGGTCCCCAAATCCCGAGGTTGGGGGGGTCACCGAGTCCAGGGGGTCCCCAAATCCGAGGTTTGGGGGGGTCACAGAGTCCAATGAGGGTCCCCAAATCTGGGTGGGGGTCCCAGAATCTGAGGTTTGGGGGGGTGACAGAGTGCAGAAGTTCCCCAAATCCTTGAGGGGAAGGGGGTCACAGAGTCCAGGGGGTGTCCCCAAATCCGGGTGGGGGTCCCCAAATCTGGGTAGGGGTCCCCAAATCCAGATGGGGGTCCCCAAATCTGGGTAGGGGTCCCCAAATCCTCGTGGGGGTCCCCAAATCCGTGGTCTGGGGGGGTCACAGAGTCCAGGGGGTCCCCAAATCCTTGAGGGGAAGGGGGTCACAGAGTCCAGGGGGGGTCCCCAAATCCAGGTGGGGGTCCCCAAATCCAGATGAGGGTCCCCAAATCTGGGGTGGGGGGTCCCCAAATCTGGGTAGGGGTCCCCAAATCCTCGTGGGGGTCCCCAAATCCCGAGGTTTGGGGGGGTCACCGAGTCCAGGAGGTCCCCAAATCCGTGAGGGGGGGGGTCACAGAGTCCAAGGGGTCCCCAAATCTGGGTGTGGGGGTCCCCAAATCTGCCTGGGGGTCCCTGAATCCGAGGTTTGGGGGGGTCACAGAGTCCAGGGGGTCCCCAAATCCAGATGAGGGTCCCCAAATCCTCGTGGGGGTCCCCAAATCCGAGGTTTGGGGGGTCACAGAGTCCAGGGGGTCCCCAAAACCGGGTGGGGGTCCCCAAATCTGAGGTTTTTGGGGGTCACTTCCTGCGGGCGGGGCCGCTGTGGCGCCGCTCGGGGTCCCTGCGGGGCAGCCCCTCGAGGTCCCTGCGGGGCAGCCCCTCGTCCGTGGACGACGTGGGGAGGGGGCCCTGGGACCACCGGGCCAGCTCTGCGTGCTCCTCAACGCTGCTCGACAGCGCCTGCAGCCAGCCCTGCATCTCATCCTGTCAGGGACCCCAAAATATGCAAAATACACCCCAAAATATCCAAAAATATCCAAAATACACCCCAAAATATCCATAACACCCCCCAAAATACCCCTCAGACACCCCCACTGCTCGACAGCGCCTGCAGCCAGCCCTGCATCTCATCCTGGAGAAAACACCCCAAAATATCCCAAAATATCCATAATACACCCCAAAATATCCAAAATACACCCCAAAATATCCATAATACACCCCAAAATATCCATAACACACCCCAAAATATCCCAAAATATCCATAATACACCCCAAAATACCCCTCAAACACCCCCACTGCTCGACAGGGCCTGCAGCCAGCCCTGCATCTCATCCTGCCAGGGACCCCAAAACATCCAAAATAGCCATAACATCCAAAATATCCATAACACACCCCAAAATATCCATAACACCCCCCAAAATACCCCTCAGACACCCCCACTGCTCCACAGCGCCTGCAGCCAGCCCTGCATCTCATCCTGGAGAAAACCCCAAAATATCCATAATACACCCCAAAATATCCATAATACACCCCAAAATATCCATAACACACCCCAAAATACCCCTCAGACACCCCCACTGCTCGACAGGGCCTGCAGCCAGCCCTGCATCTCATCCTGTCAGGGACCCCAAAACAGAACCATCTTCAGACCCCAAAAATCATCATCAGACCAAAAAAAAATCCTCAGACCCCAAAACCACCATAAAACCACCCAAAACCATCATCAACCCCCAAAGCCATCATCAACCCACCCCAAACCATCATCAATCCAAACAACCTTCTTCAGACCCCAAAACCATCATCAGACCCCAAAACCATCATCAACTCACCCCAAACCATCATCAACCCCCCCAAAAATCATCATCAGACCCCAAAACCACCATCAATCCATCCCAAATCACCAACCCACCCAAAACCATCATCAACCCACCCCCAACCATTGTCAACCCAACCAGAACCTTCTTAAGACCCCAAAAACCATCATCAGATCACAAAACCACCATCAACCCATCCCAAAAAACATCAACCCATCCCAAAAAACATCATCAACCCATCCCAAAACCACCATCAACTTCCCAAAACCATCATCAGATCCCCAAACCATCATCAACCCAACCAGAACCGTCATCAACCCACCCCAAACCATCATTAGACCCCAAAACCATCATTAGAGCCCCAAACCATCACAAAGCCACCCCAAAACCATCATCAACCCACCCAAAACCATCATCAACACCCCAAAACCATCATCAACCCAAACAGAAGCTTCTTCAGACCCCCAAACCATCATCAGATCCCAAAACCATCATCAACCCACCCCAAAACCATCCTCAGATCTCAAAACCACCAACAACCCAAAACCGTCATCAACCCCCCAAAATCATCATCAGACCTCAAAATCATCCTCAGACCCCAAAACCATCCTCAGACCCCAAAATCATCATCAACTCACCCCAAACCATCATCAGACCCCAAACCATCATCAACCCCCCCAAAACCACCATCATCAGACCCCAAAACCACCATCAATCCATCCCAAATCACCAACCCATCCCAAACCATCATCAGCCCACCCCAAACCATCGTCAACCCAACCAGAACCTTCTTCAGACCCCAAAAACCATCATCAACCCATCCCAAAAACCACCATCAACCCATCCCAAAAAACATCAACCCATCCCAAAAAACATCATCAACCCATCCCAAAACCACCATCAACTTCCCAAAAACCATCATCAGATCCCAAAACCACCATCAACCCACCCCAAACCATCATTGGACCCCAAAACCATCATCAGATCCCAAAACCACCATCAACCACCCCAAAACCACCCTCAACCCATCCCAAACCATCATCAGACCCCAAAACCATCATCAACCCCAAAAACCATCATCAACCCCCCCCAAACCCCCTGAACCCCCAAAAGCCCCCTGGACCCACCTCGTCCTTGGCCTGCAGGAGGAATTCGCTGCCGTCGCTCGTCCTAAAACAGAGGACCCTCCAGATTTGAGGCTGGGGGTGCTCTGGGGGTCTGGAGATGGTTTTGGGGTCTGGGATGTTTTGGGGTCTGGGAGTGCTTTGGGGTCTGGGGTGGCTTGGGGGTCTGGGGATGGTTTTGGGGTCTGGGGTGCTCCGGGGGTCTGGGGTGCTCTGGGAGTCTGGGAGTGGTTTTGGGGTCTGGGAGTGGTTTGGGATGGGTTGATGATGGTTTGGATGGGTTGATGATGGTTTTGGGGTCTGACGATGGTTTTGGGTAGGTTGATGATGATTTGGGGTGGGTTGTTGATGGTTTTGGGATCTGGGGATGGTTTTGGGGTCTGGGGGTGCTTTGGGGGTGGTTTTGGGGGCTGGGGGTGGTTTTGGGGTCTGAGATGGTTTTGGTGGTCTGAGGATGGTTTGGGTGGGTCTGATGATGGTTTTGGGATCTGGGAGATGCTTTGGGGTGGGTTGATGATGGTTTTGGGTCTGGGGATGCTTTTGGGGGGTCTGGGGGTGGTTTTGGGGTCTGGAAATGGCTTGGGATGGGTTGATGATGGTTTGGGATGGGTTGATGATGTTTTAGGGGTCTGGTGATGGTTTTGGGTGGGTTGATGATGGTTTTGGGGTCTGGGGGTGGTTTTGGGGGGTCTGGGGATGGTTTTGGGGTCTGAAGATGGTTCTGGTTGGGTTGATGATGGTTTTGGGGGTTGATGATGGTTTTGGGGTCTGGGGATGCGTTTGGGGGGTCTGGGGGTGGTTTTGGGGGTTTAATGATGGTTTGAGGGTCTGAGGATGGTTTTTGGGGTCTGAAGAAGGTTCTGGTTGGGTTGATGATGGTTTTGGGTGGGTTGATGATGGTTTTGGGGTTTTTTTTGATGTTTTTGAGGGTTCTGATGACAGATTTTGGGGCTGATGATGGTTTTGAGGGTTCTGATGACGATTTTGGGTAGGTTTTTGATGGTTTTGAGGGTTCTGATGACAGACTCTGGGGCAGCTGATGGGTTTTGGGTTCTGCTGAGGGTTTTGGGGCCACCTACTTGAGCTTGAAGACGTTCTTCTTCTTCTTGCTGGCCACGTGGCCAGTTTTGGGGGGCTGATGATGGTTTGGGGTGGGATGATGATGGTTTTGGGTTGTGTTTTGATGATTTTGAGGGTTCTGATGATGATTTTGATGGTTCTGATGACGATTTTGGGTAGGTTCTTGACGGTTTTGAGGGTTCTGATGACAGACTCTGGGGCAGCTGATGGGTTTTGGGTTCTGCTGAGGGTTTTGGGGCCACCTACTTGAGCTTGAAGACGTTCTTCTTCTTCTTGTAGTCGCTGGCCACGTGGCTGGTGGCCCCGTGGAGGCTCAGCAGGGGCTCCCCGCCGTGGGTGGCCCCGGCCGCGTGGCCTTTGGCGTCCTTGTAGAAGCCCAGGTCGCCCTTGGCCAGGACGCAGTAGAGGTTCACCCACGACCTGGGGGGTGGGGGGGAAAAATGGGGGGTTTTTTGGGGGGTTTTGGGGGGTTTTGGGGACATGGAGGCTGGGGGGAGGGGCGGTGACCCGGCCTCGAAGGGTTGGGCACAGCCCCAGGTCTTGGGGGACCCCCAGTCCTTGGTGGACCCCTAATTATTGATGGACACCTAGTTATTGGTGGACCCCCAATTATTGATGGACACCCAATTATTGATGGACCCCAATCATTGATGGACCTTCAATTATTGATGGACCCCTAATTATTGATGGACCCCCAATCATTGATGGACATCTAATTATTGATGGACCCCTTATTATTGATGGACCCCCAATTATTGATGGACCCCTAATTATTGATGGACACCTAATTATTGATGGACACCTAATTATTGATGGACCCCCAATTATTGATGGACCCCTAATTATTGATGGACACCTAATTATTGATGGACCCCCAATTGTTGATGGACCCTCAAACCTTGATGGACCCTCAAAAGGTTAGACCCCCAACCCTTGGTGGACCCCCAATCATTGATGGACCCTCAAGCTTTGGGGAACTCAATCATTGATAGACCCCCAGTCACTGGTGGACCCCCAATCATTGATGGACCCCCAATCATTGATGGACCCCCAATCATTGATGGATCCCCAATTATTGATGGATCCCCAATCATTGATGGACCCCCAATCATTGATGGACCCTCAAACCCTGATGGACCCCCAACCCTTGATGGACCCCCAATCACTGATGGACCCCCAACCCTTGATGGACCCCCAACCCTTGATGGACCCCCAACCCTTGATGGACCCCCAATTATTGATGGACCCCCAACCTTGGGGAACCCAAATCTTGATGGACCCCCAACCCTTGATGGACCCCCAAACCTTGAGAAACCCAAATCATTGATGGACCCCCAATCATTGATGGACCCTCAGCCCTTGGGGAACCCAATTAACACCCTCCCCCACCCCCAAACCCCTCCTACTCCCCCCAACCCCCTCTGAACCCCACAAACCCCTCCCCCACCCCCAAACCCTCCCCCAACCACCCCCCAAACCTCACAAACCCCCGTCCCCACCCCCAACCCCCTTTCCCCTTCCCCACCCCTCAACCCCTCGTTTCCCTCCTCTCCAACCCCCAAGCCCCCTGAACCCCCAAACCCCTCCCCTCTGCCCCCAAACCCCCAACCTCCCCCAACCCCCAAAACCCCTCCAAACCCCTCCCACCCCTACAAACCCCTCCCCACCCCCAACCCCTTTTCCCCCCAACTACCCCCAATCTCCCCTTTTCCCCCTTCCCCACTCCAAATCCCCCAAAACCCCTAAACCCCCCCAAAAACCCCAACCCCTCCAAACCCCTCTAAACCCCTCCCCACCCTCCAAACCCCAATCCCAAATCCCCGACCTGTTGGATGCCTTTTGGGCCCGTCCAGCCTCGTGCTTCCTCAGCAGGAACCCCTCGTGGGTCACCGTGTGCGTGGGGGCGGCGGGGAGGGGCAGTGCTGCCGACCCTCCCCTCCCCTGGGCGAGGGCCGAGCAGGACCTTCGGGGTTCGCTGCCCCCGAGTCTTTGGGGCGGGGTCGCCGCCGGGGTTTGGGGCGGTCCCAGGCCCGGGGTCGATCCAGGCGGGGGTCCGGTCCAGGAGAGCTTCGGGACCTGCGGGGAGGCGGCCGGGGAGTCCTGGGCTGGGGGAGGGGAGACCACGTTTGGGGGTTAGGGAGGTCGGGAGGGTGTAGAGGGGTGGGAGGGCGTGGGGGCGTGGGGTGGAGAATCCCGGTCCCAGAATCCCAGTCCCAGTCCTGTGGCTGGGGGACACATGGGGGGTTAGTGGGGGTCGGGGGCTCGGGAGGGGTCGTAGAGGGGTGGGAGGGGCGTGGGGGCGTGGAAATCCAGTCCCAGAATTCCCAGTCCCGATCCCGGGGTTGTGCGGGGTGGGGGTCCCGATCCTGGGGCTGGGGGGACACGGGGAGGTTCTGGGGTCGAGGGGGCGTAGAGGGGGTGGGAGGGGGCGTGGGGGGAACCACGGGGGTCGTGGGGTCGGGATGGGGCAGGAAGTCCGGTCCTGGGGCTGGGGGGGTGGGGAGTCCCGATCCGAGGCTGGGGGGACACATGGGGGGATTATGGGGGTCGGGGGTCTGGAAGGGTCGTAGAGGGGTGGGAGGGGTCAGGAGGGGTCGTGGGGTTTGGGGCGGTCCGGGCCTGGGTCGATCCGGACGGGGGTCGGTCGGGAGAGCTTCGGGACCCGCGGGGAGGCGGCCGGGGAGTCCGGGGCTGGGGGAGGGGAGACACGTTTGGGGGTTAGGGGGTCGTGGGGAGTGTAGAGGGGGTGGGAGGGGCGTGGGGGGCGTGGGGGGCGGAGAAATCCGGTCCCAGAATCCCCAGTCCCGATCCCGGGGCTATGGGGGGAGCACATGGGGGGCTATGGGGGTCGTGGGGGGTCGTAGAGGGGTGGGGAGGGCGTGGGGGGTGTGGGGGTGGAGAAATCCTGGTCCCAGAATCCCCAGTCCCGATCCCAGGGCTGGGGGGCATGGGGGGTTCTGGGGTCGAGGGGGTCGTAGAGGGGTGGGAAGGGGCGTGGACACCAGGGGGGCGTGGGGAGGCACCACGGGGGTCGTGGAGAGTGGGAGGGGGCGTGGGGGTGGAGGAATCCCGGTCCCAGAATCCCCAGTCCCGATCCCGCGGGTTGTGCAGGGTGGGGGTCCCGATCCCGGGGCTGGGGGGACATGGGGGTTCGGGGGTCGAGGGGGGTCGGGGGGTCGTAGAGAGGGTGGGAGGGCGTGGACATCAGGGGGGCTGGGGGGACACCACGGGGGTCGTGGAGGGGGTGGGAGGGCGTGGGGGTGGGAAATCCGGTCCCAGAATCCCCAGTCCCGGTCCTGTGGCTGAGGGGGACATAGGGGGTTATCGGGGTCGGGAGGGGGCGTAGAGGGGTGGGAGGGGGCGTGGGGGGCGTGGGGGGTGGAAATCCCGGTCCCAGAATCCCCAGTCCCAGTCCCGATCCCGGGATTGTGGGGGTGGGGAGTCCCGGTCCCGGGGCTGGGGAGGCACATGGGGGGTTCTGGGGGGTCGAGGGGGCTCTGGGGGTCGTGGAGGGGGTGGGAGGGGCGTGGGGTTCCAATGGGACACCGAGGGGACACCAAGAGGACACTGGGGGGACACCAAGAGGGTTCCAAGGGGACACCAAGAGGGGACATCAAGAGGGTTCCAAGGGGGTTCCAAGAGGACACTGAGGGGGACACTGAGGGGACACCACGAGGGACACCAAGAGGGTTCCAAGGGGACACCAGGGGGACACCAAAGTGACACCAGGGGACACCAGGGGACACCAAGGGGACAGCAGGGCACACCAGGGGACAGCAGGGCACACCAGGGGACAGCAGGGGACACCAAGGTGACACCAGGGGACACCAAGGTGACACCAGGGGACAGCAAGGTGACACCAGGGGACAGCAGGGCACACCAGGGGACACCAGGGGACACCAAGGTGACACCAGGGGACAGCAGGGGCCACTCCCATCGCTCACCGAGGCCTGGCCGGGCCCTGCCGCCTCCTTCTCCTGCAGCTGCTCCACGATGTCGGCCAGGGTGGCTTTGCTGCTGATGGGGGGGACATTTCAGGGTCACCCCTGCCCTGTCATCACCCCCTCCGCCATCACCCCCCATTGTCCCCCACTGTCACCCTTCCATCAACCCCTGATCCATCACCCCCCATTGTCCCCCACCCCTCACCCTCTGCCTTGCTGCTGATGGGGGGGGACATTTGGGGTCACCCTGCCCTGTCACCAACCCCTGACCCCCAAAGCCCCCATTGTCCCCCCACCGTCCCCTTTCCATCAACCCCGACCCCCAAAGCCCCCATTGTCCCCCACCGTCCCTTTCCATCAACCCCCTGACCCCCAAAGCCCCATTGACCCCCACCGTCCCCTTTCCATCAACCCCTGACCCCCATCACCCCCATTGTCCCCCACCCCTCACCTTCTGCCCTTGCTGCTGATGGGGGGACATTTCAGTCACCCCGCCCTGTCATCAACTACTTGAAGCCCCCATTGACCCCCTCCACCATCCCCTTTCCATCAACCCCCATTCCAGCTCATTGTCCCCTGCCCCCTCACCCCTGCCCTTGCTGCTGATGAGGGGACATTTGGGGTCACCCCGCCCTGTCACCAGCCCCGACACCCCATCCCCCATTGACCCCTCATCATCCACCCGCCCCTCCCACCCCCTGCCCTTGCTGCTGATGGGGGACATTTGAGTCACCCCGCCCTGTCATCAACCCCCTGACCCCCCAAAGCCCCCATCGTCCCCCATCCCCCTCACCCTCTGCCCTGCTGCTGATGGGGGACATTTGAGTCACCCCGCCCTGTTATCAACCCCTGACCCCCAAAGCCCCCCATGGTCCCCCCGACCCTCCTGACCCTCTGCCATTGTCCCCCCATGGTCCCCCACCCCTCTCACCCTCTGCCCTTCCACCAACCCTCCTGACCCCCATTGTCCCCCTCTGACCCCCATGTCCTCCCCCACCCTCCTCCCTTCCACCGCCCCTGACCCTCCATTGACCATCTGACCCCCCAGTGACCCCCATCTCCCCTGCCCCTCTCACCCTGCTCCCTTCCCGTTGTGGCACCGGCCTCCTCCAGCGGCCCCCGACCCCCATTGACCCCGGCCCTCCGTGGCCCCTGACCCCTATTGGCCTCCATTGACCCCCGTTGACCCCCTGACCCCTCCGTGACCCGCTGACCCCTCCCATGACCCCTCCATTTGACCCCTGAGCCCCTCCATTGACCCTCTGACCCCTCCATTGACCCCTCCATTGGCCCCTGACCCCTCCATTGACCCCTCCATTGACCCCGACCCTCCAGTTGACCCCCCATGACCCCCTCGACCCCTCCGCCTCGCCAGCCCCCGACCCTCTCCAGTGACCACAGCCCATGACCCCCCATTGACCCCCCCGGCCCCTCCATTGACCACCCGTAGACCCCCACCTTCCCGCCCTCCTCACGCCTGCTCTCTTCCCGTTGTGCCGCGCCGGCCCTCCAGTGACCCCCCTGAGCCCCCATTGACCCCCCGGCCCCTCATTGCCCGCCCCATCACTGGCCCCTGACCCCCATTGACCCCTCTAACCCCCTATTGGCCCCATCGCCCCCTGCCCTCACCCCGTTCCTTCCCGTCGTGCCGGGTTCCCCTCGGGCTCGCTCGATTCCTGCTGCTCAGGTGTTCGCCCACACACCCCTCACTTCGCCACCCCTGACCCCTCAGTGACTGACCCCCATTGACCCCACTGACCCCCCATCGCCCCCATCTTCCCCTGCCCCTCACCCCCCGCTCCCTTCCTGTCGTGCCGGGATCCCCCCTCGGGCCTCGCTCGATTCCTGCCGCTCCAGGTGTCCCCCCACACCCCTCACCTTCCACCACTCCCCCGACTCCCTGACCCCCATCGCCTGAGCCCCCGATCCCCCCATCGACCCCTGAACCCCCATGTCCCCTCACCCCGCTCCCTTCCGTCGTGCCGGGGTCCCCCCGCTCAGGCTCGATTCCTGCCGCTCAGGCATCACCCCAACCCCCTCACCCTCCCACCACCCCCGACCCCCCCATCGTCCCCCTGACAACCCCCGGCCCAGCCCTCCTGGCCCCCATTGGCCCCCCATCGTCCCCTGACCCCCTCCATTGGCCCCCATCGTCCTGGCCCCCATTGGCCCACCCGAAGAAGCCCCTTGTCTCTCACCCCGCTCCCTTCCGTCGTGCCCAGGGGTCACCCTCCAGGCTCAACCAGTTTTACTGCCGCTCCAGGTGTGCCCCCTAAACCCCCCTCACCCTTCTGCCGCCCTGACCCCCCATCGACCCCTGAACCCCTCCATGTCCCCTCACCCCGCTCCCTTCCCGTCGTACCGGGAGTCCCCACTCAGGCTTGCTCGGTTCCTGCCGCTCCAGGCACTGCGCCCGCCACGCTCCTTCTCCCCTCTCCCCCTCCCCTCCTGGGGCCCCTCCTCGGCTCAGGGGTTGCAGAGGGTCCCGAGGCTCCCCGGCAGTGTCGGGGCAG